CCCCCCCCCCACACACTTCCAGCACACACACCCGCACACACAGACACCCCTTTCCTCTCCCCCAACAACAAACAAATCGGGAGACACAAGAAAATGCACAGAGACGGATAGACACAAGGCCAGAAACTTACCTGCTCCACAACCAGCTGCCAAAGTAAAGGTTCACTTAAGCTCCCCCCCAAAAAAATCAATTGTCCTTCCTTTTTAAAGGTTTGCTCGCTCCTTCAAAAAAAAAAAAAAAAGGAGAGAAAAGAAAGAAAGAAAAAAAAAAAACCTTCTGGTTCCCAACTCGGAGCAGTCACTCTTTACAATTTATTTTGTCGTACATCATTTGATCACCATGAATTAGCAACAGCAAGAAAATGTACGAGAGAGAAGAGGAGAGAGAGAGAAAGAGAGAGAGAGAGAGAGAGCGCAGAGCTTTCTGCAAGAGAAGAAGAAGAAAAAATGTACGTGTGACAAATTATGCTACCAAGAAACAACACATCATTATCCTTGGGCCTGGGGCTCAGTGAGTCGTAACGAGAGTAATAGGAAATCCACGGTTGGGGAGAGAAACGGTCGTGCATGGCCAGTGGAGAGAGACCATACAGGGGGATGGATGCTGGAGAGACTCGCAAAATTATGGCTCAAGGCTATTGTAAAAATTGTCGAGCGTAAATGACTGCGATTTCAAACATCTTTGGAAGAAAGAAGGGGAAAAAGCGAGCCCCCCCCTCCTCTCTGCCTCCCTCCCTCTCGCTCTCCCTCTCTCTTCTCTCCCTCTATAAAGAACCGTCAAGTTTTAGTGCGCATTGCTAATTAGTCAATTTCTCTCTGCCTTCACAGGCTGGCGACTTTGCTGCTGAGCTGAAACTGCTAATTTCTGTGACCAGCTTTTTTCTTAGCTGTGATCTGGATGAATGAGTAGCTGTCTCACAGAGATGACAAAAATAAACTCTAATCCCCCCAAAAATTTCCACTACATCTTTCTCATGCATAGATTTATGATCTTCAAGCGCCCTGTGCAATATGCAAACTTTTTGTGTGTGAGTGTGTGTGTGGGGGGGGGGGGGGCAAGTCTGTTATATCCAGGTTGCACAGTATTTGTTTTGTGTTTCTGCTCTCCCCCCGCACCCCAGATGTCATGGAAATAATGTCTGATTTCAGTACCCGATATATTGTCACCCACCCTGCCACCCCCCTTGTATTTATATTATTGCTTTGACAGGATACATCCTCCTTCCTTGCAAGTATTGATGAGGCTGGAGGGGTGGAGGGGAGAGAAAGAAAGTGAGGCTACTAAATGGTGTTAGTGGTAAAACATTCCCTTTACATTTGTTCCCCTGCACTGTTCAAGATTTATGATCTTGTTTGAAGGCATATTTTCTCTATCGTTTTGTCTGGTTAGACAACCGTCTCTGAACTTCACTGTCAGCTCTTCAACAGATAAGGGTTCAGAAGTCACTTTTTTTTTTATTGGAAGATTAGCATATTGTCAGATTTGTCTTTCGGTTTCAAGACTTTGCAATGCAGAAGCCTGAATCAAATGGCAGGAAAGCAGCTGCTATTTCACAAATGTAACCTTTCAACTTTCTGCCAGAGCCGATACCCTAGAAACGTGCACAGCACAGCCCATGGGTTGGGGCTTTGTTTCGGTTTTTGCTCCTTTATAGTTGTAACAAGCAGAGGAAATTCTCATTGTAGGCATTCTGGGCTTTTTCTTTCCACCAAGGGGCATTTTGGTAGAGGACATGTTCTCCATACTTTATCTCATGATATATTGCACCCTCACATTTATAGCTCTGTTCTTCTGTTGTCAAACCTCCAATTGTCAAAAAAAAAAAAAAGAAAAAAAGAAAAAGATGGAATGTATGCCCTTGAATGAAATGCACATGAAAGGAGACTGGAGCGAGCACTTACAGAAAGTTTTACCTGGTGTGAAAGCCATGAGCCCCATCCCCTTTCCCAGATAATACTCAGGCTCTCGTTAATTAAAATACACACCAGGAGTGGGACTTTGTATGCCAGGTCTCATGGTCTTTCTCTTTGACTTGGCCAAGGATGCCAATGCATTTACAAACTTGGAGTCAGATTGCTCATGAATGCAAAGGACTGGAACTGAAAGGCATCAAGGCAGTTTTTGCTTTTATTTATTTTCTGATGACCTTAAAAAAGAAGTTCTGTCATACCTTTCTGTTTCTCCTCACCAGATATCTCCTTTCCTCCTCCCTTGGACGTCAAGTATTTCTGCAAGAAATTTCCAAGAGAAATTAGGCAGCTGGTGTTTTAGGGCATGGTATTCTTCCCAAAAGAATGACACCCTCATATGCTGCTTCTAAAACCGTTTTCTTTGTTTTGCTCCTGTTGTGCCTCCCCTTCCTCCCAGTTGTACCCCGTTGCCCACCCAGATTTTGACCCCGTTCAGGTGAAGAGAAACATGAATTATAAGACACCTCCATTTCGCTAGTAGCTGGTATCTTCAGCGATGCGAGTTGCCTCCCAACTGTAGTAGATGGGAAGAACAATTTTTATATCACGCCTGTGCTGCTGAACTTTACTGCTGTAATGGCTGTAAATAATCCCCACGGGGTTTTGTATCAGTTTTCACTGAGTGATGTGTCACACACTCCTATACCATTGTAAGCTGCCAAAACAGGTCTGTGCCAATGTGTAACAAGTTTCTGGGACTAGCATACTGGTATGTTTTGCTCATTAGTGAAAAGACCTGGTTAATTTTTATTTAACTTTGCTACACTAACTCAAGTTGAAATAAAGTTCAGTCTTACTTATATGTATGATTTGTGGTCACTTATGAATTACTTTGGACAAATATTTCCAGAAGTCCTGGGTATGGTATTTTCTAAATGGGCTTGAGCACTTTTGAAAGGAGACTTCAAAGTTTCTAACTCACTTGGGTGCTTTTCAAAATTTTACACATCATATCTGCAAAGTAGAAGATTAAAGTTCCTCTCTTACAGGTGGCAGCTATCAGCAGAAAATTCCATGTGTTTTCTTTCTTCTGCGGTTATTCCCTGACCTGCACCATGTAAAATTATCTGTTTTCTTCTGTGGACCAAAACTAGATGTACTTGCTGCTTGGTTTAAGCAGGGA